TTCTTCTTAACACGTGTTTCTCAATTTCCTGTACACATCGCGGAGAGGGAAATTCTGGCCGTTCCGTCGTCAAATCCCTTGGCAAATTTTCCCTCCACTTTTTTACATAGACGTTCTTTGGTCAGAATAATCTCCATGTATGGTACAGCGGGATTTGGCAACATGATGATGAGCAATAAACGGGTCATTTTGTTCTTGGCGACAATTTTCAAAATCATGCGAAGGCCGTTTCGTATACTAGGATTTTACAGCAAAATCTTTTTTCTTTTCTTTTTAATAAATACCTTGTCATTTTGCAGTAAAATAAAAAAATCGTAATCAATCATCTAGGATAACCATGTAATATAACTATATTCGCCAGAAATATCGTTGATTATTCTAATTAAATTTTTAAGTAATTAACTTTATTTTAATGTTATTTATATCATTTAATGTTGCTTCTTCCTCTAAATTTATTTATTATTAGTAAATAATACTTTCAAATTTCAGGCAAATTTTCTCTGGCATAATCCTGAAACTTAAATCTAGCAGTATGATGACATCACGAAATTTAATGCACATATTTTTTCTTTATGTATGCTGCAAAATAAATATGAAATACCTCAATTTAGTAAAAAAATATCAATAAATAGATTTCTTTCTTTCGTTTAGCTTAAAAAAACTCGTTTATTTAATCCAGATCGGGCAGATTCTAATCTCAATCTTCAGTGGAGAAAACGACTCCTGTTATAATTATATTTGTGTTTTCAAGTGTTAAGGTGCCTTTTAATAATACACCTCACACAAATTAAATTTACCTAAAATCTAACCTAACTTTTAGCATTGCGTTGTGATTTATAAGAACCGGATTAGCCTCGTGTTGAACTGGGGATGATCATGAGTAATAATTAAATAAAACGTACAGTTGTTATCCAATGTATATATCTTAAATTTTATTAAGTTTTTTAAGCGGAAAAGTAGACAAAATTATCAAACAATGTGTACCAAGAATAATTAAGAATAAATGTCCTCTGGGATTTATTGAATAATTAAGTGAATTTGCTACACACTACAAGTAATACCATAATTAATTTACCTCTTAGCACAGCCAACGTACATTACGCGGATAGACTGGAATTTTCTCGAAACGTACCTGGAAAAGTCAGGGAATTTCATTTTCCTGTTTGTGTGGCAACCCTGTTAAAAAATAAAATTTAATAGGGGTCATGTAAATCCATAATGATTAAGGTTATCAAACTACCTAATTTAATTATTTATAACTAACTGCTTACCCTTAAAAATTATCTGTACATATTAAAGTGAGTTATTGCCTTTCATTAATACTCACTGTGGTCACAAGATAGAATATAAAAATGTAAAAATTCAAGTAAAACGTATTCTAATGCATCTACTGAGGCTTAAAATAATAGAAAACAACATATCACCTCTGGTGCTTTAATGGATTGGTGCTTTAATAATTGGAACCTTAAAGTATATTAACTGGGTTACAATCCCTGGAACTGTACACGAAACTAACTGCAACACTAACTGCATCAAACAGAGCCTAACTTTCAACACTTGCCAACCTTGCCTACATGAGGCCTTTCATGTTTGTTCTAATCAGCAGGTCTCTCTCTAGGTAAGCAGTAGCGGTGACAACATTCAATCTTTTATTATGAATCATGCTGATTATGATTTTAATGCTCATTTTAACCTATACTGCTTGACATAAAGTCTACTTGCTATTTACTAAACCTCTAGACTGAGCAAGTATGTGACAAAATGAGACAAAAATATTTGTTAGTAAAACATAACTAAAACGTTACTTATCTTTTTTCAAATATGGCCATTTATTTATTATAAGTGTAAAATATTTAATGCTGCTTGATAAATTTCATAATATTTATTTTATTCTCAAAGGTATTAATAATTATGTTAATAAAGTTATATTTAGTAATAATGCGTACTGCTCACGGATCTCTTTTATTTTTAGGATGGTATTAAAAAGTGAAGTTCAGACATACATATAATATTTTTAGTTGAATTTATTCAGGTTTCCATTTGCTCATAGGTCCTTAATTATGTTCATTTCTGGTCCTTAAAAGTACTTAATTTCCGTGTTCAGAAATGTGTACGAACCCTGATGTATTGAAGTTTAAAATATGCTTGATTCTAGAAACTAGGTTATTATAGCTGATTTGTTAAAAATTCCATTTCCTCAAAGATACATAAACTCCAAAAGCATTAGGTCATGACGTTGCCATGTTTGCCATTAATATTAAATCTTTGTTCCTGTCTGACCGTTTGTGTCCCAAATGATTTTGGTGAAAACCTTGATTGAAAAACTGCATCCAAATTTATTATCATCAAAAGTCTTCTATTTCATCCACAACTTTACTACATTTAAAGCCAATGGGCAAACCTACAAACAGCAAGATCTCTTTATAAAGATGTCAGTATCACACATTTTGATTGAAATTTCTATGAAACATGCAGAAAACTGTTTTTATTGTTCCTCAAAAAACTGTTTCCTGGAGTAGGATGTCAATGATATCTTTGGAAACATTTTGAAGACAAACTTCAAAAGATTATTTTTGTTTTCTCAGAACAGGCTCCTAAAGTACGGTTTACAATTTATAGAGAAATTGATAATAGCACTCAGTTTCTTGAGAACCGAAGATAGTCTTCAAACTATAGTCTACCAGAAACTCCCAATTTTGTTGAAACACTTGCTAAGAAAATCAGTAATTAAACCTCTAATTTTTTCTGTAAAAGCAAAGTTGCTCCTCATGCATGAATAAAATATAATAAAATTCATTGAAATACTAATATCCCATCACTCTATGCATCAGTTACATTTTTCAAAAAATTTAGTTACAAAATTGCTGAAACCCCATCCCTATCCTCCTGGAAATTGTTAAGAACTAACAAATTAGATGCCACCACAGGAGATACAATAGTTGTGTTATACTGTCCCCATGCTCAGTGGAGATTTTAATATTGGAAGTCAGTATATTTTTCAATATTATTACTGCATCATTAGAACTAGAAAATTATCAATAAAAATTGTTGAATATAAGAAATATATTTACAAATTCTGTTGCAATGAATACATCAATGACAATAGCACATATATGGTTAAATATCTCTTGAAGTATCTAAATAATCTTGAAGTATCTGAACAGTCAGAATAATCAACAAAGCCCTTCATAAAAGCAAACTTGCAGAGAAGTGCTAGAAATAATTGTCAGATTGTGGTGACATAAATACCTTCCTTTCAGTCTACTATACATCTATACTTTGGCTCTGAGAAATGCAGCAGCCATACACTAAGCAGCTTTTCAGGAAACGGTAGTAAAAAAAGAGGGACCATAATCAGGTCATTCATTGCACTTCCAGCTGATAACACATGCAAGTTGTCTGCAAAAGCTTCCATTTTGCTAACATTTAAAAGCAGTTCTAGCCTTCAACCTAGAGCATTTATTTCATCAGTATTGTATATCTAGTAACAAAGACCTATTTTGTACCAATTACCCATTAATTACAGAATTTGTAGTTTTATGATGTGTGAATAAAAAAAGCTGTACATTGTAGTCCAGGTACATTAATAGTATTTCATCCATTTAGTAGGAAAATCATATAAACTATCTTTGTGTTATATTTCCTGATATTAATATTAGATTCTAATATTCTGATTGTATATTGATTTAAAACTATTTATAGGAATTCATTTCTTTTGTACAGTCAAAAGTCGTTAATTCGGACACCCATAATCCGGACCTCAAAGCTACAAACTTTGCATTGCATTGCATGCATTGAGTTGATGCATGCGCGTAAGACCTTTACGGCTGCGAATATGCGTGTGCGCATGCCCAAAATACGTTTACGCATGCGCATTTAATGTATAACGGACGGTATAAGCTAAGCTAAAATTATCTAATTCAGTTAATGTCGCAGATTGCATTGTTCCTTAATCTTCGAATTGGATCCGGCTTATTATTCTTTGCTGACTGTTAGAGCAATTTTATAAAAGTAAGCTTGAACTTTTGATTATGTCAAATAGAATTTCTGATATATATTTACTAATGTGTAAAGGATCTACAAAGCGAAAGTATGTTTTGAAGTCCATTAAACAAAAAGTGGATTTGCTGCAAAAAATGGATAAAGGCATATCCTTTGTTTATCTAACCATTCCAAAATCTGTTTATCAATTTCACGCTGCTCTGCGGTGTGTGGGGGGGGAACGCCGCAGCATGCAATGAATTGGAAGTTGATCTGTCAGCACTATCCTTATTTTCAGCGCAGATGTTTTTATTTTATTTGGCTTATAATTCCTTACTAAATGTAGTATTTCATCTCGATGTACTCCATTTTTGATGTGATTTAAATCAAATTCCTCGTCATTATAATTCACTTCCAATAGCGAAGAAAGTGACACAGAGGTTATTGAAAATGAAAAAATTTCGATTGACAAATTAGTCGGTATTCTCGACCCAGCAATTATAGGACTTGAACAGCGGAAATTTGTAACTGAACAAGAAATCATGTCTGTTTATAGAATTAAAGAGAAAATATTATCACATAAAAAACGAAGCAACTTAAACAACTTACATTAAAAGAAATGTTTAATAAAGTAAACAAATAAATATTAACCCTTTTTTTTTTTTTTTTTTTGTAAATTTTGATACTCTTTAGATCATAATTGTTCTTTATTTCATAAATTACGGTTTCATATTTTTAATTTTATAATTTCTGCATGCCGTCTTACCAGATTTAAACTGATGATCTATAATCCGGAATCACCAAAGTCCCGACGAGTCCGGATTAACGACTTTTGACTGTATATGTAATATCAGAAATGTCTATCTCATATCATCAAGCTAGTAAATCTATATGTAAACAAATCTGAATAACCTTATACATTTGTAAAGATGTTATGTATTTCAAACTAAAATAAGTAATGATAATTTTAAAAGTTGACTTACCTTTATGCTATATTTTTTGTTAATTTCCTTTTAAAGGATCTCTGGTTATGCAACACCCTGGTGAAATTACGACACCAACACAAGGTTCTGTATTATTTGGTACAGTAAATGGTGCAGTAGGTAAGATATTATGCAACTTTTTAAAATTGTAAATTGATAATTTATTAAACATTGGAGTCCATATTTAATATCATCGACTTCTGTGATTTAAAATAATTAAAGGATTATGCATACATTCATTAGTAATTCTAGATCTGCTGTGAAAGAATTAGAAATTGCTGTGATTAAAGTGTAATATTATATATATAGTCTGATAAAATTTAGCAAATGCTTATTCATTGAAGTATTTTTTAAGTGGACTGATATAAATTAGAAATTAACAAAGTGAAACTATTTTTTAGTGCAAGGCATAAAAATTAGTGAGGAATCTTAAATGCTAATACTGTAAAACTATGCATATTCAAGTTTTACAAAATTTGGGTATAGAAATTAATCATAGAATCATAGATGTGGGAAAGTAATTAGCATGCCATTTTAGAAATCAGAATTTATGTCAAGATATAAATGTTTTCAAAATGCTATATATAACTCTAAATTTTTTTTTAGGTTTAAATAATGCAATTAATTAAAATTTTTCAGTCAGCCACTTAATGTAAAAAAAAAAAAAAAAATTCCCTCTTTTTGTTGCGTTTAACCAACCATATATTAACACTCCGGGCGCGTCTCGAATCTTGCGGCATCGGGCACACTGTATCTGTCAGATACCTATCTATTTTACATGTTTTCTGGTGATCTGTATTGCTTTAAAATCTTCTATTTTTATTCTTTTTAGGTCCAGGCTTTTACACTCAGACCTTTCTTTCTTTATTTTTTAATTTTTTACTTATTATTTACAATCACCATTAAACAGGTTAAAATGCCGTTTAAAAACATACGCAATGAAATATGTTAATTCAGTTGAAAAAATTTTTTAAATATAGCATTTGTTCATAAATAATTAATATCGCATAAAATACATAATATAAAATGACAAAATAAATCAGTTATACCTTAATTCGATTCTAAATTTAAGTTTGGTTTTCATTTGAACATTTCTGACACATCATTACTGCATGTTCCAAACAAAAATATTCAGCACATCTTATGCAGGAATATTGGGTCAATCTACTTTTCTTATTTGTTTGACATGTAGAGTACCTTTTGGTTACTGGGAACCTTTGCTTTTTTTCCTTCTTCAGCAGTTTGTCTGTAGGTTTGAAGTTTCATTTGCAAATCCTTCGATAAATTGGGTTTAGTCATGCGACTAACAACTTCTTCATTCATTAATTCTTTCACCAGTATTTTCAAATACTCTCTCCTGTTCTGAACAGTATTCTGGTTTCCCAAAAATACAACTAGTCCGTTTATAGCTGAAATATTTAGCATCGAATTAAATACTATCATCGGCCATCTCTTTGTATTGCAAGCACAATTATAAGTTCCAGACATCTTATCCAGAGCATCAACACCGCATTTTGTAGCATTATAAAATGTGATTATATCTGGTTTTTTTTTTTTTCATTTCCAGTGTCTGCATTTATAGCATCATCAAAGTGCATACTTGATACAAGCAAAACATTTTTGCCTTTTTTTCGGTACGTATGAAACTAAAGTGCAGTTTTTAGAAAAACCAAATAAGCTTGAATGTACTTCTTTTCCTTTAGATTTCGTAAAACAGGGAGGTATTTCTTTTTTATTCTTTCTTATTGTTCCAACGTAAGAAAGTTTTTTATCTTTTAGGTCTTTTACTATATCAATAGAGGTAAAGGGCTGTTTTCTGCCATATATTTCTAAATTCAATGTATAAAGTGTTTTAGCATCAACTGCTGCAAAAATTTTAATGCCATATTTATTTGGTTTTGATGGAATGTACTGGCGAAAAGGGCATCTTCCTCTAAAACTTTCTAATTTCTCATCTCTCGTAACATTTTGTCCCACGCAATAATTATGCTTACATTTTCCCACAAATTTCTCAAAAATTTCTCTAATAGGTGCTAATTTATCTGTTTTCCTTCTCTCATTCCTCGTCTCTTTATCATCAAATCTACAGCATCTTAGAGGAAATTTAAATCTCTTCAGACTCATTACCGTTCTAAACATCTCAATACCCATTCCATCAGTAGACCACAGTTCTTCCAAAATTTGTCGATTACTTCGCAAAACACCAGCTAATAAAAGTAAACCTATAAATGCTTTTATTTCAACGATATCTGTTAGTCTTGCGTCTCTTTCTCTACTAAATAGATCAGAAATTGTAGAAATGTATTTGTTCGTGTATTTCACAATTATTTCAAATATTTCATCAGAAAAAAAAAAACAGTTCCAAGAGTCGTATATAGTTTTTATATCTTTAACATTTCCCATTACTCCAGGTAATTTTGTGGTAATATTCTGTGATTTAACTTTGACAATTTTTCTTCCGGGCGATTTCGCCCATTTAGTGCTTTTGTCTTTTCCTACATAAAAATCACCATTGTTAAAATCATCATCATCAAAGTTCTGAGTCATTATAATCACTTTCAATACTTTCAGAATCCACTTCAAATGTTTCTAAAATATCCACTTCTTCATCATCACTTTCATCAAATTCTTCAGCATTTAATTCCTCATTTCCATCACTAAACAGAATATTATGGATTAGTTCAAGATCTTTTTGATTATTCAAATCTAAAAAGCCTTTAGCATTCATCATGGGAAAATAAATCAAAAATCTGTAAGAAATCTCGATACTTCCATAAAGCTTCAGGAGACAAACATTATCGGAAACATGTATCTGACGGATACATGACGGGACAGATTTTCAAATAAGCTTAAAAACAGGAAATACTTCTACACTGAACTGGTCATTACTGCATTCCAAAGGAGGGGGTGGACAGATGGACAGATACTGATAAGGTCAAGGTCGTGAGAAGAAGTTTAAGGGGACAAAAACAGAGATTTTGACACGTCTATATCTGTCAGATCAACGCGCCTGATGGAGTGTTAATATTCATTTACAAGTATAGGCCTAAGAAACTTTTAACTCATATTAGTATAATAACATTTCCCACTTTATGTGAAGTGGGAAGTATATTAGCCAGTAAAATAACGGGGTAATAATTATACTTGCATTGCGTGTAGAAGTTCGTAGAATGTGAAGGAACATTTTTCAAGACAGTATTCAGCATCTTTATGAACAAGCATGATTGTGCATATTTTAAATAAATAAAAATCTTATGTTCAGAATCATTTTCTTCCCATGACATATATGTTGTTATTTGTAGTTCATAATTTCATTCCCTTAACTCGTATTACTTTGAAAACTATAGTGTAGCTCACTGAGAATTATGCATTCAACTTCTATGAGTGAATCTAAAAAAAGCTGTTTTATTTTAAAGATATTATAGTATGAGTAAAAAATTTTTAAAAATAAGTTGTAAAATGTTGATTTAAGGAACATGTAACGTTGAAGCTGTATACTGTATCACATAAAAGTTGTAACTTACAATGTTTTTTTGTATTAACGTATTTTGTTAAATTCGTTTAGATATTTTTTTTCCCTCTGTGCTGTTATTCTCCAAGAAAGAATTTATTTTTATTATTTAAGAAAAAAATCACTTTATTTATATATTGTAAATAAATTCTAGCTTGTTTTTTTGGGGGAGGCTATTAATTAATCTGTAAATTTACTGTGTGTTTGTTATTTTAGGTCTAGTTACACAACTGCCTGAAGAATATTTCTTGTTTTTGAATGAAGTGCAAAGTAGGCTTACAAAAGTAATCAAATCTGTTGGGAAAATCACACATGCATTGTATCCTTTCATTTAAATTTATCTATTATTTATATACTTAAATTTTCTCATCATATATATATATATATATTTATTTTATTCTTACATTTACTCTAATTTGGATGACACTCCCCTTATACGTTTTTTAGACAAAAGCTGGTCAGAAGGATAAAATAAACTGTTAAATAAATAATAAAAATGTGGCTGCTCTGAAATATTTCTGTTTAAAAGTTTGATGATCTTAGACTAACAAAGTTCATGATTATATTTCTAGCAGAGTAATATAAATAGATTATGTACAACTTTCAACTGCATATAATGAAAAGTCCTTAAAGTCTGTAATTTACATGGTTCAGTAAATAATTACAGAAAACTTCCATCCATTTTATTGTCTTGAAGAAATGATATATATGTAAAATAGAAAATGTTTATCTTTCAAATAATAAATTAATAATAGCCCTTTAACTCCCATCTTCATTCTAAAAATAAAAGAGCAATAATTTTTCTAACTAAACTCCTTGCAATTCTGAAAAAGATCATCTTGTAACAAGGTTCGTACGGTCCTTAAGAGTCCTTAAAGGTCCTTAAATTTTTTGGAATTGATTTTTGGTCCTTAAAAGTCCTTAACTATGGCCAAAATCAGCAGAAGGTCCTTAATTTTAATCATCTGAAATTTCTGTCTGTTTTTATGACTGCCATTTTGAGTGTGAATTAGCATTTTGGAGGAATATTTTTGGCAATACACTGACATATATGGTTATCTTTTGAATGTGTTCATGGGTTATAATTTGTTTCTATTTCTAATAAAAATGATGGGATACTCAAGTTTCTAAGCAAGAAGTGAAACATAAGTATTTCAAAATTAAATTTTTCTAATAAAGAGCTTTTTAAACAACTTTTCGCTTTGGGTCTGTGAATTGTTTTTTTTTATTAAACGGTTCTAAATTTGACGACTTGTCAACATTTGGCGATTTTAGGATCAGTTTCTATAGAAAATTTTTAATTCCGAGATCTGACAATTTTTCGACCAACGTTTTTATTTAAAAGCATCATAACATTGATAAATTTCATTAAAATAATGGTCAATACATTGAAATTATATATAAAAATAACATTAAAATAAACATTCTATTTTTTGCTGTCATATTATAAAGTTTCATTTTGGCAACTTATACAATATTATGAATCTGATAAATAAGGCATATTGCTATAAAGCATAATTTACGAAACAGCTCTTAGCAAGAGCAAAATTAGCTATGCAATTAATTAAAAATGTCTTCTTTTTAATTTTTTCATAGTAAGCGTTTTTCTCATGCATTTGTCTCGAAATATACAAAATTCTCAGAATATGCATCAGCTTTCTCTATAAAATTAATTTTACACTTTTTCCCTCCCTTTTTTTTTTTTTTTTTTTTTTTTTTTTTTTCAAAATATAGCTGACTTTTTGCTATTACAGAATTGGTAGGGATAATTTTTCTTTAGTATTTTGGATATTGCAGCTTGGAAAGTTTAGAAGGGTTTGAAGTCAAAATTTATAGACCCACTATTCTAGAAGATTCGAGAAATATGTGACAAAATGAAAAATGTCTCCATGATATCGACATATAATGGATGTATTTTACAGAAAGTTTGCAATGAATTTCTTACCTTTTGGAGAACGTCTGGAAGAACAATGAAAGCATAATATTTGAATGTTTTACTCCTGATACTAGAATCTTTTTCTTAACATGTTTATCTTCCCTTTATTTTCTCTACCTTTCACTAGACACAAGCATCAAAAATATCAAAAGTGCTTATAATCTTATCACTGGGAAGGCATTATAGAAAGGGATTTTTTTATTAATAAAGAAATTGAAAACTTATAATTTAAAAAATTAATCTAATATGTCCTTAATGCATCATATACAGAGCTGGCAGTAGGCATTTTCCCCACCTGATGCAATCTCTGTGGATCCTAAATTCTGCTTCCAATGCCTACTCTTAATTCTAAACGTTTTGCTATTTCTCGATTTTATTGTTTGGTGTGTCAGTAAATTCTAAAAATTCTGCCACACCAGCTTTGTAACCGGGCTTTACCATATATATTTCATATTTCATATTTCTTCTGAATGTTCATATTACTAAAGAAATAGAATTAGCCACTTTTTCTATACATTCTAAATGCATCTAGTGTTTTTTAGAATAACAGAAATAATTAGATCCAAAAATTCTAAAATGAAAAGGAACCGTGTTGAAGAAAGAAACTGAATACATAAAAAAATTATTTCTCAAAGATATGTGCAATTATTATTTTGTAACTTACCCAATTGTTTATAATTTCAGCCTTTCAGTTTATGATTCAGTCGGGGGGGGGGACTATTTAACTTTTACCAGATCAAGTAAACCCTCATAGGTACCTTGTGGCCATGTTGACAAGTTAGGAGATAAGCACGCAGAAACTAGCGAGAGCATTGGTTTGCATATTGAGACAACTCTCTAATTGTTCGAAAAGATTTTAAAGAGAAGGAAATCTATATAAACTAGTTAAAATGTTTGAAAAGGCTTCAAATTAAAATGAAGGATACATATTTTGTTGAGTGTTGTTACAAAACATAAATGTTTGAGTGTTGTTACAAAACATAAAAGTTACAAAACATAAATGTTTTGTAGCTTTTAATGTGTATCCTAATATCGTTTAAGGATCAATGTCATAAATTACATGTATTTTAAACTGTAAAATTTTATTAGATTTTGATTTTAATAGGCTTTTTTAACAAATATTGTTAAAAAATAAAATTTAATAGTGGCCATGTAAATCCATTATGACTAAGGTTATCTAATTACCTAATTTAATTATTTATAACTAACTGCTTACCCTTAAAAGTTATCTCTACCTATTAAAGTGAGTTATTGCCTTTCATTAACACTGTGGTCACAAGATAAAACACAAAAATTTAAAAATTCAAGTAAAACTTATTCTTTCCATCATTCTTTGGCTTCTGGTGAAACTTAAAAATAATACAAAACAACTTATCATCTCTGGTACTTAAATCGCTTATTGGAACATTAAAGTATATTAACTGGGCTACAATCCCTTGGAACTGTACACAAAGCTCTGACACTAACTGCATCAAACAGAGCCTGACTAAGTTTTAACACTTGCCAACTGTGTCTACATCAGACCTTTCAGGTTTGTTCTAATGAGCAGGTGTCTCTCTAGACAAGCAACAGCAGTGACAACATTCAGTCTTTTGTTATGAATCATGCTGATTATGATCTTACTTCTCATTTTATTTAACCTATACCGTTTGACATAAAATCTACCTGCTATTTACTAAACCTCTAGACTGACTAAGTATGCAACAAAATGAGACATAAAAAAATCAACATAAAGCTAACTATTAGTAAAACGTAAATAAATGTCATCTTCTTTCAAATATGTCCAACTATTATAAGTGTAAAATATTTAATCCTACTTGATAAGTTGTATAAAGTTTATTTTATTCTCAAACTTATTAATCATTATGTTAATTCATGTTTAGTAATAATGCATACTACTCAGGGATCTATTTTATTTTTAGGATGGTATTACAAAAGTGAAATTCAGGCATAGAATAGTATTTTCAATTGAATTTATTCAGTTCCCATTTGCTCATAGGTCCTTAATTTATTCATTAATGGTCCTTAAAAGTACTTAATTTCTGTGTGCAGGAATGTGTAGGAACCCTGTGTAATCTCTATTGCCTACTTATCCATGAAATCTAAACCCAACGTCTGAACATTAATCTGTCATGTGATCTGAAATGTAATCTGGTATAAAAGGTAATTGCTAAGCAGCAGCCACCCAGAGGTTATTTTCCATTTTTGTCCATTGTCTAAAGAGATGTAAGCTGTGCAAAATTGTGGGGTGTATTTTCCATTTGTAAATGATGATGTACCATAAAAAAGAATATGCGTCCTCAGAATTAATTATCAAGGAATAAAATTATGTGTGGAATTGACACAGGGTTCATAGCGGTCCTTACAAGTGCTTTTATAAGTCCTTATATTTGAAAATAAAATATAAAGGCCCTTATAGGTGCTTACTTTTTCTTTAAAGCCCCCCTTTTTTAGTGCTTATGTTTTGCTTTTAGTGCCCCCCCCCCTTTTTTTTTAAATGAACGATCACGTTTTCCCTATACAAGAGCTGAAACTAAATAAACAACTTTTCTTCCTTATACGGAATGTCAGATGGTGAATCATACTCCCAGAAATACCTTATCCCCCTTTCTCTGCATTAAGGTAACCTTTGGTGCAGGGGAGTACAGAAGGTGCATGTCGTTCTATTGGTCAAAGAATTGCAAAATGGTAGAAAATTCCGGTATATTCAGTATTCTTTTCCTTCCACCCAAATACTACACATGTTTGAATTTCTATCAAGATTTTAATAATTTGCTTTCTTGTTCCACGTGGTGAGTTCATATTCGCTTTTATTATGATCGTTATGCTTATATTATGAGCATATGTATAAATATTTATAATAATATAGTTGCAGTAATTGCTGAAGTATAGATAAACTAACGAAAATGGGTAAGTGTGTTTTAACTCAGGTTAGCTTTCTAAGGAATAATATTCGGAATGGCTTAAATGAAGGGAAAGTAATCGAATAGTCAAAATAATTTCCCCCGCCCCCAATACATTATACAGTACGAAGGTTGAGAGGTTCTCCCCTTTCTCTGCAAAATGTCAAATATTGAAACCATTACATTTCGCTGCAAAACAATCAATGGACTTTTTTTTTTTTTTTTTGGTCACTTTCCAATCTGGATTGAATAGGATGAAAATTTCTGCGGTCTACCAACCCAAGCGAAGAATGATTCTATTCCGGAAATATAATGCAGTCTGTTCAAAATTAGAATGAAAAACACCCCAGATTGATAACTCTCTTTCTTTTCCTATATTTAGGTCTTTATTCTCCGTAGCTGTTGATTCCGATTGCATAATATCACGTACGGAGGAATTATGGGGGGCGTATTGCGCAATAACGTTTGCAGAGAGAATTAATTTTGATATTCAGTCTGAGATTTGTTTATGAAAACTTAAAAGTTTTATTGTGCTTGCTAAGCAGAATATTTTTCAGTTCCGTTGGTCTATTTTTATATGATGCACATATCGAAATGTCAAAAGCATTTATTTAGCCGAAAAAAACTAAAGAATGGCTACAATCCACCCCCCCCCTCCCTATTTTTCCAGTTACGCTCGACTATCCGGAGTATTCGGCAGTTTCCGAGTATGCGAGTTAGTTAAGCTTTTACTGTTAAAGGATGACTGCATGAAGCAATTTCTCGCCTTCTGATTTCAGAAATGTTCCTCTTTTTTTCTTAAATTACTTTGCTTGCAATATCTGCTAAGGGAAAACTGTTATACAATGAAAATTTAGAAAATGTTCAGAATTTTCAGTAAAGTTAAATTATTTAAATATTAATATGAGTGGAAAAATAAATTGTATTTATTATTAGGTGCCAAACGAATACAATTAATATGGCTTATTATTATTTATTTTCTATATTTTGAACTGAAATTTTGTCATTAAATCTTGTAATATTGTTTAGTTCTGCATAGTTCCCCCCCCCTCATAGTAAACTAGTTCTGTAAATTGAACTGTTATTTAAAATTAAAAAAAAAAAAAAAAAAAAAAAAAATACTTTCCATGGTTAAGATAATGCTCATTCTCTCTTAATAAATATTTCATTTCTCATACTTTAAATTATAAGTCTAATTTTTCTTTTAAGGATATGCAGTTGTGTTTAATGTAATTAGACAGGTGCTTATTTTTTTAACTAAATTTTGGCTACGAACCCTGTTACAGCTACAAATCTCTCCTTGAAGTGTCATTTTTTTAATTATGCAGTAGTCTCTCCAAGTTTTTATCACATATATATTACAGGCAATGAGTCAATGGAAATGGGGCTTTTGCTCTATGGGAGTATTAGTACAGTCGAGGCTAAAGTAAAATGTAGAACACATTCATCACAATACTTTCATCAAGAACTGGAAAACTAATTAGATGTTGACACTTTGAGATTCAGTAGTTTGGAATAGGTCTAATTAAAAGTCCTACGGAAGCCAAACAGAAACCCATAATTTCAAACATCAGGAATTTTCAGCAGAACTGCCAAGTTGGTTTAAAAGTAACATAGTGTTTTGGCTTTCCAAAGATCAAATGCATAGGAGAGTATTAAAGTGATTCTATAACTGATTTCTTTACAGATTGTTATAATGTTGTTACTCAGCCTTTCTTATTGTTATAATGTTGTTACTCAGCCTTTCTTATTGTTATAATGTTGTTACTCTACCTTTCTTATTATAATCTTGCTACTCTGCCTTTCTTTCCTAAGTCAGCTGAATTAACACTTCAGTAATTTTATTCATAAGTAAGTGATGCTAAGTTGTAAGCTGTACTTTTTTTACACCATGCTATATGGGTTTTATTTACATGAAAATGGTGCAGAAGCCAATCTGAATATTTTTTATTTTAAGAATTGCTATCAGTGAATGTTAACAAGGCTTGTGAATGTCCCAAAGGAAAAGTTTTAATCTCAAGTTCAAGCCTAGAAATTTTTGAGATGAAAAATGATGAATTGAAGGAATTCTTTATGCTGATGTTACTCAAAAAGGCATATTTCAAAGAAAATTAAGACTGTATCCAAAGCAAGTTTTGCTCTACATCCAGTGTGATATTGGAGGCATGATTAATTTTGAACAATTAGAAAATAGCCAAACAATTAATGCAAGCATCTGTAGTCTTGAAGCATCTTAAATAGTTTAAAATGTTCTTTAACAGTGAAGTATTAATCAACAGCCATGATATGATTCCATCAATTGGTTAACACTAAATCATATGCCCCAGTGTGACTCAACAACGGCTTAATAATAAAAAATTCTTATTGATCTGCCTAAAAATTCAGATATTGCTCCTTTCAGCTTTTACCAATTTAAGCCACAGAGCATTTCTTGTTTGCTAGGACATCTACAGTCAACAGGAAGATTAAAAGGTAATAAATAAATATTTTGCCATAATATCAAAAAAGGACTGAAGAATTGTCTGAAAGATAGGGAGAAGGGATGAAAAATGATAAATATTATATTCTGTATTAGTCATGCATTACTTTCTAATCAGCCTGATAGCATATGCAGGAACGTGCTAAATAAACATTGCTAGACTAATATGTGAAATAGAAGATGACTAACCATATATTATTTCCTGCTGTTGTAATTTCTTAAGTAACTGTTACAGCACATAGTAACAAGGCAATGTATATGATAACTTCCAGCACATATGTATGTAAGATATAACAAAATATGATGGCTGCATTAAGAAATGATTTACAACCTCAAAATTAACTATTCTAAATTGTGTGTTCTCCCTCCTAAATTCATCTGTTTTCCCAAATTCGAGATCTTTCTATATGTTACGTAATGCTTGAACCTCATATTCTAGAAAATTAATTTTTTTTTATCAAAGTTACACTTAGACTGTTTTAATTTTATATTCTCTTTTTCACATAATTTTATATTCTCTTTGTCACATATCTGAAATATTATTTTAAGATGTTGATCAAAATTTGGGGAAAACACTATAATGTCATCAAAATAATTTAAAGCAAACTGAATCAAATATAAATTTATGTAAGAGCTGTTTGGAAAACAACTGGAGAATTTTTCCAACCAAAAGGTAATCAATCTATTGAATTCATAAAGACTAAAGTTTGTAGTAAATGCTAGTTTTCCAGTATCATTTTCATTTAATTTTATATGCCAGTAACCAGATGCTAAGTCCAATATTGAAAAATTTTTTGCATTTGTTAATTGCAAATGCAATACAGCATTTGTTAATACAATACAGCATCAGTTCTAGGGATAAGTTCAGAATCTGTTTTAGTTATTTGGTTAAGTTTCCGAGAGTTTCCGATAGTTTTGGCCTGTTCATCTCTCTTATAAGCTAAAGCTACAGGTGCAGCATAAGGACTGAAGGACGGTTTTATAATACCAGCATTTAACAATTTGTGTATTTGTTTTTTTAATTTCACTATTATCTTTAGGAGATGCTCGATAGGATTGAGAGCCTATATGTAATTATGAAATTAAAACTACTCATGGAGGCTCGATATTGATAAACTCACATCATATTTATTTATAACAAATACATGATTATAGTTAGTTAATAATTTTTGCAATTAATCATCATCAATTTCACTATTTTCTTAGTATTTGCACTATCTAAGATTTGATTAGTTAATGCAGACACTGCGATGACTTTTCCATTGGACACACAGGATATGTATCAGGTTAGACTCTGCTGTAATGTTTTACTTTTTGCCGGAGATAAAAACAATTCACGCTTTAGTCATGGCCGAAACTACTGCTGCATAGATGATTGGAAACTGCATCATAGTGGAATGATCCAATAGAATTTAGGACAACCAGCTTGATAGTTAAACATAATTTATTTCTGGATGACAAGTTTCTTAGCACATATCTTTATAACTGATAGAAGATTAGGGGTTCTAAATGTGCACCAAAATTTAGATATGCAATTACATTTTAAATAATGGTGATGCCAGTTATAAAGAGGCTGAGCAACACGCTGTCAGCAGGCACGCGAAAGAGAGAGGAGACTACATAGTTAGTAGCTGTTTATACTAGATAGGTGCATAAGTATAGCTAATCTGTGATTGGTTAATTTTGGGTTTTATTTCCATATTTCAAGCAGCATTATGTAACGGAAATATTTTGAATTTGGGAGAACAGATGAATTTAGGGGGAGAACACCAAATTTAGAATAGTTAATTTTGAGGTCACCAATTATTTCTTAGTGCAGCCATCATATGTTGTTATATCTTACATATTTATGTCTAAATTCATCTGTTCTCCAAAATTCGAGATCTTTTCATGTTACATAACATTGCTTGAAAAATGTAACTAAAACCAAAAATTAACCAATCACAGATTAGCTGTACTTATGCACCTATCTAGTATAAATAGGTACTAATTGCATACTCTGTCTTTCGCCTCTTCGCCCTGCCTGGTGACAGTGTGTCGCTCAGCCTCTGCTAGCTATTCACCATTATTTAAAATGTAATTGCATATCCAAATTTATGGGGCACGTTTAAAACCCCTAATCTTCTACCAGTTATAAAGATATGTGCTAAGAAATTCATCATCCAAAAATAAGTGATGTTTAACTATCAAGCTGGTCGTGCTTCTTCTAAAATTCCATCAGGTCATTCATTGTGACACACACAATTTCCAATCATTTACCCAGCAGTAGTTTCAGCCATAACATGGAATGCTCTTTTTTTTTTTTTTTTTTTTTTTTTTTGTCTCTTGCCAAAAGTAAAACATTACATGTATATAAATTATATAATGATAAATCAGAAAATGAAGGCATTTTATGCATTTAATTACATTAAAAAGTCAAATTTATGTAATGTATTAAACTTGAAACATCTGCTTCCCTGCATTTACTGCTGTAAATTAAAGCAAAGGATTAGAATTCTTGTAATCAGTAGATACATTATCATTGAGTTGCTGTTTGAATTCTTGCTTGTGTTCTGTGAATTGATATTTTAATTAATAAACTGTTTATTGATTTTTAATTCTTTGTAGAAGTATTAGCTTTTTAACAGATAATCTCCTGAAATATTCTCAGTCAAAACTAGAATGGAGCTTAGGACAGTGACCTTCATGTGCTTTATTAAGTATTGTTAAAATAAATAAACCAACCTTATTAACAATAATTAATAAACGAATTAAATAGCAAAATGTAATTCCTGTTGTCAAAATAATATTTTTTCAAGATTATTTTATAGTTACATTAACTTAATTTGAATACAGCTACAGATCGTTTTCTACTGAAAGGAAGCAAGAGGTATCTTCAGGCTTCATTGATGGTGACCTCATTGAGAGTTTCTTAGATTTAAGCAGAGACAAAATGAAGAAAGTCGTTCAAGGAGTCCAGGTAAAACAGTTGCTGTCATGTATGGTTGTTAGCAAATTATAATACATATAATAAATGCAGAAATATTGTTGAATATACGAAACTATAGTTATTAAGATGATAAAATTGTGAGGAAACATGCAATATATATAGCAGAATATATTTGACAGATCTCTGAAATTATCATTTTTATCTCTGTTGTTCTGCATAACCGAAAGTTTCTGTAAAATGAAATTGTTGCCTGAGAATGTGAGTTGTAAGAAATTTTTTTAGAAAATGTAACCTAACTAATTTCATTGATTTTGTATTTCAGTGGCCATTGGCTTTAAAATCCGAATTAAATATATATTCATTTTGCTTTTGTAGCTGAGTGATAATATGTCACAGCTTAGAATATATTAATATATACAGTAAATTACTATCAACTATTAAATGAAACATATCAAAATGCATATTTTCCTTGTTTGGAAATAAAATTTTAAAATAAGTTTGCTGCTTCAAGATGTTGTCCGTTGAAACCTTTGTGGAGAAAACATCCTGGTACAAAACATCATTGTTGAAAATAAAGCGATTCAGTTTGCAGTTTAAAACCATCATCGTCGAAAATATCTTGGTAAAAAATAAAGCACTTACAAATAATCACATAATGATAACATCGCATATATGCGTTTTCAGGCTTTAAATGTTTGCATAATGGTTTGTGAGTGCAAGAAGGAATGTGGAATGTTTTTTCTTTTATATTTGGTATTTTTAAATTAAATAATAAATGTTGCTGTAAAAAATAAGGAAATTTAAGCATTCAAAGACTGAAAATGACTGAAAAAATAATTCTTAGTATAGCAGTTAAGTGAATTTTAAGCTTTTATAGTTAACTTATAAAGGTTATTAATTAATTAAACTTTTTTGTAAAGTTTATATTGGTAATTTTTCATGAAAAACATACTCTAAAAAAAATCAGAAAAAGGAAGATGAGTAACTAACTATTAGGTTGTCCGGAAAATAATGCAGGTTTTTAACGTATATCTTTAAAGTATCATAACTCAACTGAAAAACAATTTTATTAATCAAAATAAGCACCAGCCGAATCACTGCATTTTTGCAGCAAGATATAAGTTTATTTATGCCGGTAGAAAAAAATCTGAAGTTCTAGACGCGATAAAGTTGTCAAAGGTGTTTTTGACCTCATCTTGGTTTCTGAAGCATTTCTTCTGCAGAATGTTGTCCAGATGTTTGAAAAAGTGGTAATTGGTAATTTTCGTTGATCTGATTTAATCGTTTCGCCCAGATTTAGGAAGCTGTGGTGGACGAGACCGGCCGGAGACCACCAAACAGTCTGCACAATTTTCTTGTGGTGCAAATTTGGCTTTGGAAAGTGTTGTGGTATCTGACCACTGTCCAATCACTGAGTTGAATGTCACCAGTTAGAAAATCCACTTTTCATCACACGTAACAATTCAATCAAGAAAAGGATCATTTTTGTTGCAGAGAAGAGCAGACAACACTTCAAAACAGCAATTTTTTTTTAAATTTTCACTCAATTAAGCACCCACTTGTCGAGCTTCTTTGACTTTCCTATACGATTCAAGTAATCATCAATTGTTGTTTTGCTTATACCAAGCTCCTCCGCAAGCTCTCGAACAGTTGTGCACGGGTTTCTTTCAATTTAAGTCTTCAAATCATGGTCGTCAACAGCTAAGAATGTTCACAATGCGCTTGGTCTTCCAGGTCAAATTCTCCACAACGAAACTTTTGGTACCACCGTTGAACTGTAGATTCGTACTGTAGAACACTTTTCTCGCCCCATACTTTGTTGACATTGACATTCATTTGTGCTGCACTGTGGCCTAGCTTTTACTCATAAAAGTAAATTTGCAGAAAATCCCGTTTTGACATCTAAACAAAAACACCTAGTAAATATTTTTTGAAATAATGTTGGAACAAAATGATTATTGTAGAAATATAGAGCAAAAATAGAGCTTCAAAATGATATATAAACCAATGTAATTCAAAATATTTTTGTTGCTAAAAATGTAAAGGAAAAATAAATAATTGCAAAAACGTGCATTATTTTCCAGACAACCTGATACATGTGGTTGTTTATTATATTATAAAATTATGTTAACTGCTATTAGTAACATTAATTTTCTACTCATTTTCAGTTTTTCAATGCTTAAGTTTCCTTCTGAATTTTTGAGCTAAAATTTAATAGCTAATTCAAAAATATAAAGGTAAAAATATTCCTCATTGCTTTTTGCGCTCACAAATCATAATGCGAATATGTATTTACAACTTTTAAAACCTGAAAAGCATATATCTACGATGATTTGTAGGCACTTTATTAGTTACCATGATATTTTTGATGAAGATGCTTTATTTTAGATGACGTTTTGTACCATGATGTTTTAGAACTGCAATGTTTTCTCCTTGCTTTCTTTTTCATCCAAGATGTTTTGTATGATGATGTTTTTTGCCTTGTGTTGTTTTCTCTGTGATATTTTCAAGAAACAATGAGAAACTACAACAATTTCACATATAAGGTATTTCTCCCGCCTTCATGGTGTAGTGGTCAGCATGTTCAGAGTGATTTCGGAGAGGTCCGTATTTGAGTCCCGGCGAGTATTCATTTTTCATTTCTCATGCTTCGAAATAACCTAATGACTTTACAGATGCTGCCCAAACTAAAAGATGGTGGATGATAATTCATCACCACTAGGATTTGGTGATTGCATCCCCTTAATACCCATTTGCCCTTTAAAAGGTATTTTCTACCTCCATTATATATGTCTTCATGGTGTAATTGGAAGCATACTTGATGCTTATTTTAAAGGTCCAGAATTTGAGTCCTGGTGATGGCACAGCACATTTTTCATATCTCCAGCTTCAAAAAACTTAATGACTCTTCAAGCTAATTTCAACAGATGAAACTTCAGATAATCACTTTCATGGTGCACTCAAGGTAATTAAAATAATGTAGCAAATAGCCAAAGTATTATATTTATTCTATTTGAAGTGCTTTTGTTATTAAGTGGCTAAATCACTACAGTACTGCTAATGGTGGATGAAATAATTATTCCATGAAATTTTATGTATTCTCTCACAAACCATATAAATATTAGCTTTTTTCCCTTAAAATCTAAAATCTTTCACAGAGACACTTCTTTCTTTTTTCTTTCCACAAAGGCCATACCTATCAAGTAAAAATTAAAGCCTATCTCTCAAGAACTCGACTCATCAAAGTAGTTGCACCCCAAGGACAAATTATTTTGCCTTTACTTTTTAATATATACTTAAATGATATTCTGTATTATAATGAAGCTATCATAATGAAGCTGATGATACGACAATCCTCAGCAAATCCTTAAACCCTAATTATGCTATTCAGAAACCTCAAACTGTTATTGATAAAATCTCTCCATGGTTTGATGCATGGAATATCAAAATTAATACAGATAAATCTTCGGTAGTCTATTTTCAAGAGCACCCTACTCGAAAAACCACTCATAATATTACTATGAATGGAGCTCAAGTGTCATGTGACTCCTGTATAAAATATTAGGAGTTTATCTCAGCAGTAAATTAATCTTCTAGAATCATATCAACAATATCTGTATAAAAGCAAATCGAAGTATTGCAAGTGTATGCTCTAGGGTTCGTACGGTCCTTAAGAGTCCTTAAGTTTTTTTGGAATCGATTTTTGGTCCTTAATTTCAGCCAAAATTGGCAGAAGGTCCTTAATTTTAATCATCTGAAATCTCTGTCTGTTTTTAGGTATGCCATTCTGAGTGTGAATTGGCATTTTGGAGGAATATTTTTGGCAATTTGCTGACAAATATCGTTATCTTTTGAGTGGGTGAATGCGTTCATGGATTATAATTTATTCCTATTTCTAATATAAATAGTGGGATAGAGTTTTTGAGCAAGAAGTGAAACATAAGCATTTTGAAATTATTTATTTTTTTTCTAGTGAACAGCTCTTAAACAACTTTTGGGGATGTTAATTCTTTTATTAAATTGCTCTAAATTTGCGACTTATCAACATTTTGGCGATTTTAAGATCAGTTTCTGTAAAAAAATTTTAATCCCGAGATCTGAGAATTTTTCAACGATTTTTTTTAAGAACATTGTTACATTGATAAATTTCATTAAAATAATAGTAATATATTGTAATTATATTTAAGAAAATAACATTAAAATAAAGTATTTTTATTTTTTTGTTGTCATATTTAAAAAGTTCCATTTTGGCCACTTATACAATATTTTGAATTTGAAAAATAAGCAAGATATCATGTTATAAAGCATAATTTACAAAACAGTTCTTAGCAAAATAGCTATGTAATTAATTAAAAATGTCTTTTTAGTTTTTTCATGGTAAGAGTTTTCCCATATAATTGTCTCAGAATGTGCGTTAGTTTTCTCTATAAAATTAATTTTACATTTTTTTCCTACGATTCCCCCCCCCTCCCAAAAAAAATATTTCTGGCTTTTCGCTGTTACCAAATTGGTAGGGGTAATTTTTGTTTAGGATTTTAGACATTGCAGCTTGGAAAGTTTAGAAAGATTTGAAGGCAAGATTTATAGACCCATGGTTCTGGAAGATTCCAGAAAAATGTGACGAAATGAAAATTGTCTCCATGGTATTAATACATAATTTCTTACTTTTTGGAGAACATCTGGAGAAACAATGAAACATGATAGTTGAATGTTTTATTTCTGATACTAGATTTACAACCTTTTCGTTTAGCTAGCTTTGAGAATTTAAAAACAAAATTATGTGGGCAAAAAAAAAATTTTTTTTTTTCCTTAAATGGTTGTCTTTTACATTTTTATTTCTAATTTTGTGTAAGACAAAATATAAATTTTTTGTTAATCATTACTGTATAATTCTACTTGTTCTTTTTTTAATTATTTAAATGATCATAATTTCAATTTGTATACACTTGTGTTTTTTTATAGTTTGATGATGGCTCTGGGATGAAGAGGGATACAACAGTGGATGATCTTGTGAAGATTGTAGAAGAACTTACTAGAATTCATTAAACTGAAATCTTTCATTTTTGTTTTGAAGATTCTGCTATTTTAATCCTATTTACTTTTGTAAAAAATAATTATGACACATCTTGTAAATAAAAACCATTACAGACTGCAAAAAATATTTTGCTGCTGTGTGAGTGCCTGTAGTATTCTTATCTGCTGAATAAAGAATATGTGTCTGTCTGAGATCAGCACATTTCCACAAAGTTCTGTTGTAAGTGATATTTTTTTTATTAATATTATGTAGCTTTATTTATTAATTTGTAATTATTAACTTTAGGGAATTATAGTTTAGTTGTAACATCAAGCAACAATGATGCATTTGCATCAAAACTTCAGTAAACAAGTTCACTTCTTCTTTCAAGACCAAATTGGTAAATAAGTTAGAATCTGTCAATTTATATACTATTGCTTTTTATTTTTTTTTTTTTTCCAGTTAATATTGTTGCTGCTGATTCCCTGTATGTTATCATTAAATAACCAGTTATGTGCTGGTGCTTGGTGAAGTGCATGTGAATACTTTGTTTTCATGTTAGTTGGTTTCTGGCAAAGTTTAGTATATCTATACTGGCAGTGAAGTTGTTGGGAATGGCATCACTAAGCCAACGAATCAAAAGCCAGATAGAGACTGACGTCATGGGACGCCAGAGGAAAACGAACAGTTCCGGTTTAGTTAGCTAAGAACGATGTTTGCATGATGTGGCTAGATAAATATTTTTTATTCTTTTAACTTGTCTTTATGTGTAAATAAATCTTTTTGCTTAAGTTTAAATGAAGTACTCCATTTATGACGAGATAGCTGTTAATTCATCGGGTAGATGACTTACGAATCCCTTCTGAGCTAGCCATTGTTCGAACGTAACGCCTTACGTAACATATCATTGTGGCGCCAAGACGTGGGGCGCGATAACAGCTAAAATAAATTGAAAATGGAGCTTACACAGCTGAAAACCAAAAGAAAATGTCTAAGAACTTCCTTTACCACATGTGCAAACAAAATTGATGCAGAACTGAAATCAGATATTCCTGATTTGAAGCTACTTTCGATTCTGGAACAACAGCTTAGAGACAAGTTTAATCGACTTAAAATTTGCCAAAAGGAAGTAACGTCACTAATTCTACAATCTAAAGAAACTGAAAAGCTATATGAAGAAGATTTTATTTCGTCTGAGCCTTATAGAGATAAATATTTTGAACTGTGTTCTCAAATCGAAAAGCTGTCGAAGAATCCTTTACCTACTGAATTACCAGAGAAGCGCAAATTTAAACTGCCGAAGATCGAAGTGAAGCAATTCAACGGCGAAGCAAAAGAATTTTTGACGTTTTGGAGCCAGTTTTTCGAAGATCCATGAAGATCCGACGATTCCAGATGAAGATAAATTCCAGTACCTTCCTGCAAGCAGTTGTTCCTCAGTCCAAAGCCGCACGGGTAGTGGAGAGCTTTCCGGCAACGGCGTCGAATTATCCCGAAAGCAATCGCCCAGCTTCGAGAGAGGTTTGGAAGAGAAGACTTACTTGTACAGATATACGTCAGAGATCTTCTAAGCATGGTTATGCGTAATGCAAGCAGTGGACGTGTGAAGACGGATCTTCCCACTCTCTACGATGATTTAGAAACCAAGATTAGAGCTTTAGAAAGTCTTGGAAGAACGCAAGAGAAGTATGGTGATTTCTTAACGCCTTTAGTTGAATCCTGCCTGCCCGAAGAAATATTAATTGCTTGGGAGAGAAACAGAAATTTAAAAGAAGCACTTCAGCCTGATGACCGATGCCTTGAAAATTTGATGAATTTTCTGAAACAAGAAGTGAAAGGAGAAGAGATGGTCGTGTTAGCCCGCACTGGGTTTGGTTCTAATCATATTTCTAAGAAAAAGGATACACTAAATAAAAATTCAGATTTCGCCACCGCAGCTGCGTTAGTAAGTACATCAAATTCTGAGAGCCCAGGTAAGCGCAATTTTAACTGTCTCTTTTGTAAAAAACGGCACCCAACTAAAGAATGTTTTTCTGCTAGAAATATGACATTAGAAGCTAAAAAAAATATATTAATTAAAAGAGGGGCCTGTTTTGGATGTTTCAGATTTGGACACACTTTTAAAACATGTCGAGTAAAAAATTCTTGCATGTACTGTAATAAACATCACCATTCTTTAATGTGTCCCGATCGCCAAGAAAAAAGCGCAAATGAAAAGTCTAAAAGGGACGTAACTGAAACCAGTACATTAACTAATAACTGTAAAATAGAAAATGTTTATTTAATGACTCTAATAGTTAAAATTAAATTTAAGAATGTTGAGCTTAAAGTACGCACATTACTGGATACAGGTTCTCAGCATTCGTTTGTCAGTAAAAAATTAGTAGAGAATTTAAATTTAAAACCATTAAGGCAAATTAAATTGAAGCATTCGTTATTCGGTGGAAGAGAAACGCGAACGCAGATTCACAATGTTTATAATTTGTTGATTTCGGCATTAAATGAAACTTTCTCCTTTCAAATCGAAGCACTTTCCGAGAGCAAAATTTGTGGCACAGTGCCAAAAGTGAACGATAGTAAAATTCTTAATGAACTGAAAGATAGAGGCGTCAGTTTGATTTGGGTTCTTCTGATCGTGAGATCGGTCTGCTTTTGGGAGCAGATATTGTGGGCAGTTTATTTACTAATAAATCTGTTCGGTTGGAGTCAGGGTTATTTTTGATTGACACTTGTTTAGGACATGTGTTAACTGGGAAACATGAGTCATTTGGAGATAGCAATGATGATACTGTTTTGAATGCAATTTCGTTGTATGTTAGTAATTATTCGATAAAAGATTTGTGGTCTTTAGAATCCATAGGTATTTCAGATCCCATTGAAAATAATAGAAAGAATTTAGAACATTCTAGAGTTTTGGAAGAGTTTAAAAATAATGTGAAAATTCTTTCAGACGGTAGATATGAACTTTCTTTACCTTTTAAATCTGATGTGGCCGATTTGCCGACAAATAAAGATTTAACTTGGAAGCGGCATGAAAAGGATGTGCCAGCGAGCACAAGATAAAAGCATTTTTAGAAGAATATACTACGATTTTCCGGGAATGGGAAAAATTGAATGTAATTGAAAAGGTAACTGATAATGCTGAAGACGGGACATTTTTTACCTCATCGGCCAGTAATTAAGGACAGTACCACTACAAAAATCAGACCTGTCTTTGACGCGTCAGCCCGAGAAAGTGGTAAATGCTCTTTGAAATGACCTTTTGTATAAGGGTCCGAACTTACTAGAAATAATTCCAGAGATACTTGATAGGTTTCGAATTCATCCAATAGGATTATCTTCAGATATTGAGAAAGCATTTCTGATGCTAAGTATAGCCCCTCAACATAGAGATTTCTTGCGGTTTTTTTTTATCCGTCCGAGAGTGAACAGATTGTTTACCGACATCGCAGAGTAGTATTTGGGTTAAAGTCGAGTCCATTTTTATTGGCAGCCTCAATTACACATTTATTAGATAATGTACCATCTGAATTTGATGCTATAGCACAAAAACTGAAACATTCTTTTTACGTAGATAATTGTGTTTCTGGTGTTGCAAATATTGAGGAGCAGAGGAAGATTTTATTGTAAATGCAAAAGATATTTTGTCACGGGGTTGCTTTTAATTTAAGAAACTGGGAGAGTAATGTAAAATGTAAAAGTGTGCTTTTAATAGTACTGGTGTCACGAAAGTATTGGGAATTTTGTGGGATCTTGATAAGGACACTCTTAAGTGTAATTTAAACTTTAATCTTGTAAGTGAAGATCAGAATTTTACTAAGAGAATCATTTTAGCTACAGTTCACAAAATATTTGATCCAATAGGTCTGTTGAGTCCTGCAATCTTACCACCTAAGCTTTTACTGCAGGAAACGTGGAATTTAAATCTAAAATGGGATACTCCTTTACCAGATAGTATTCAAATGTCTTTTAAAAGATGGTTTAGAGAAATAGATGCATTAAAAGATATCGAAATCTCACGTTATGTTGAAATAAATGATTCCACTGAGATGCATGTTTTCGTAGATGCGTGCAAAGAGGCATATGCCACCTGTATTTTTTTTAGAACGAGAACCTCTCAAGGGGTAAAAATTTACTTTGTTAGAGCAAAAACCAGAGTTGCACCTTTGAAGAAAGTAACGATCCCTAGGTTAGAGTTAATGGCTTGCTGCATTGGTGCCAGGTTGGCATATTCAGTGAAGCAGGCTTTAAATGCCCATGAGATTAAAACAATATTTTGGAGCGACTCTAGGGTAGCTTTATACTGGTTAAAAGAACGTGGTGATTGGACAGTTTTTGTCTCGAACAGAGTAAAAGAAATAAATAATCTGTTTCCTAATAATGAATGGCGACATGTGCCAGGGAAAATGAATCCCGCTGATCTGATTTCGCGAGGGTGTTCCCCCAAGAAATTGTTAGAATCCTGCTGGTGGAAAGGCCCGGCATGGTTGTTGCAAGCAAGAGACAACTGGCCTGACACCGAAATATTGATAACGGAAACACCCGAAATAACACTTGAAAGGAGAAAGGTTAGGTTATGTAATATTAATTTGTTGGAAGAGAGAGTCCCGTGGTATGCCATTAAATTCTCAAATTTCCATTCAATAGTTAGAATGGTTGCATGGATATTGAGATTTATCAGTAATGTAAGATCGCATCATGATACTAGACGGGGGGGGAGAACTTCTAACGCAGGAGATTGAAAATGCTGAAATTCTGCTTATTCGTAATGTGCAAGCTCAATTTTTTCCTAGTGAAACCTCTTTTCGAAACTTGTGTGTTTTCAAAGATGCGAACGGAATTATCAGAGTTAAAACTCGAATTACTGAACGCATAGATAAGCCTTTCTTCATTTCACCTATTCTTCTTCCTGATAAATGTATCTTTACTCAAAGACTGATTGAATATTTTCACCGAGAAAACTGTCATGCTGGAACCCAGATATTGCTAAGTATATTGCGTGAAAAGTACTTTATTACAAGAGGAAGAAGAGCGATACGTAGTGTTCTGAAGGACTGTATTAAATGTCGACGATACAAAACTAAATCTCATCATTCAAAAATTTCTGGGTCACCCCGATCTCCGGACCCCACTGATGTTTCCGATGTATGTGACAGTTCTAAGACTATAAAGACCCGAGCTGGTAGAACTGTTAAGATGCCACTAAGACTGAACTTGATAGACTTGAATGTTT